AGCAAAAAATTAACTGTAACAAGTAAAACATACAATAAATGACAGAAAATTAGTTTTTTTTTTTTTGGAGGACACCCAGGTCCCCGCACTGCCTACGTCCCTGAGTTGTATAATTTTATGTACATTGGAAAAAGCATACTCTTCAATTCTCATACCCACCGCAGATAGCCCCTGAGTTGTATAATTTTATGTACATTGGAAAAAGCATACTCTTCAATTCTCATACCCACCGCAGATAGCCTCTCTTACTACTTGAGTTATGTGTTCATAACTGTGTGTTGTGCGTCATGAAGAAATGACTTGGATTGGTACCCAGTGGAATAAAATGGAACTAGTTTGGGATGAAGTACTACTTTCACTGCTTGTTTCGAAGAAGGATTCGGATTTTATTAAATTATTGAATTTTAAAGATTTGTATTGAGAAGGTGTTATCTTGTTATTTCCTTATATCAAGATAATGGAAAGCAAGAAACGTCATTCTTATCGAATAATGCAAAAGTTATAGAAAATTAACTGGCACTCAAACATTTTGCTTGGCATGTGCATATTGCAATGTTCAATGTTAAATTCTATAATCCTTAACGATTAGAACTTTCATTCATTTTTCTTTTGGCTACTCTCTGTATGTCCAATTTTAAAAAGGGGATGAAGAGTGAAACCCGATGCAATGCCGTTGTTAGCAGCAACGATGACCATGACATCAAGGCAACGAACATTATCTGTCTGCAAACGCATATGACATTACTTATCCTCCGCTTTAAATTCATTAAAGTTACAAATTGAAAAACATTAAGTTGGTCATACGCAACAAGCAGAGATTTTTTTATACAATGTTAAATATATATGTATTTATTTTGTTATGTCTAGTGTTTTATAAATACAACGCCTAATTATCTGGAGAAAGAATTAGCAATAGTTAAAAGGCGTAAGCAGGAAGAAAATAGGCTTTCGAAAAGAAGAGGAAGATCAAATCGAAACTTGCAGAATATAGAAGATCTTGTAAGACTTACGAGAAAACTTATAAGTATTGTTTGTTTTTCTTTAAAAAAATATTTCAAAGACATGGTTTCAGTTTCAGAGTCATATTTTCACCTTAATGAAAAGTGGTGTTCGTGTCACCCAAACCCAGCGTCTACAACATTTTTGACGAAGCGGGTGAACGCAAGTATTCATAAACGTGGTTATAAAACGGTTAATGTTTGCTTAACATTTTCACAAGTGTATATTCGCAAATGCGTGTTGTGTGAGAGCAGTGGCTGCGGTACGAAACATACCGATTTGTTTATTTTTTGAATTTCTTTTTCTCAGAGCGCTTGGGAATTTTCCATGAATGCTGTTTGCTTAAGTTGTTCTTTTTTTTTTTTTTTTGACTAACAACAAACATAATTTCAAAAGGAACTGTTTTCAATCGGATTTAATGAGTCCATCCCATTCGATACGATCATTACTACCTCCCCCCCAATCGATTCGTATCAATTCAGCAAATCAATGCGTTTTAGCCGAGCAGTGGATGGGTTATATATCGTCGTTTGTAGATTTTTATCGTTATCACTATGGTGTGGACATTTCAAGTTTGAAATGTGGGTATGGATACGGCTAGGTAGATAGATAAATATTCGGCTGCTGACTGGCTGGCTGTATGCCGATAGGTATTTTGGTAGATAAACAAAATGAAGCTGAGCAGAAACCAGTTATTTACCTGTCGCTAATTCTTTTGTCGTCGTATGCGTGAACGTATGTTTGAACGTATTGCAGATTTTATGTTCCGAAAGAGACTCAGCCCTACACTTGAAATGTTTACGTTAATATTTTTTTGACTTTCTAATGAATCGTCTGAGCTTACTATGAAAACATGTTCTAGAAATAAGAAAATAACATTAGCCTTATTCTACAAAAATGAGTAACAAATAATTTGTAGGTACTGCTAACGGATCTTTTTAGTTTACCAGTTTGTTTTTACGCCACAAACACACATGGATATTCTTTGCGGATTTGTAATATGTTCTTGATTCTAAAGCGCCCGGATTGATTTAATTTATCCACATAACCCCAAAGAATCCTTTTTAAGGATTCAATAGTCTAAATAGCAAATTGTAAATAAATATGGTTAAATGCATATATGTATACCCTTAGATGACTTTTTTATCCCACAAGGTTTCGAGATTAGACACGACACCTGTGGTAGGGATAGCAAAAACGCCAATATGAAATACAGCATACGTTAAGGACGAAAGTTATTTGAAATTGAGACGAATCATCGAATTTAGTAATATTAGGTTTTCTTTTTGGGTGTTTCAGACTGCATGATTTAACGATCAGGGCAGAAGTTTGAAAAATTTATTAGCAATAAAGGTATATATGCATGTATGTGTGCTGTTGTAGAAGCAAAATGTAGAACCGCTAATGGTTCCACAAATAAAATATTTATTTTATGCTAGTGATCGATCGCCACCTCTTTCTTTAATGGAGCACACTCAGACACACACGCTCACTGTGCACTCCTCCCTGTATTGGTGTTTCGTCATTATACTGTCGAATTCATTGAAACTGTAAACAAACATGTGTGAGCTCTTTAGCATTATCATTATCATCAATTTGATGGCTTTCGTGTAAACAATTCAGAATGATAATTGTGTACAGCAGGAACAAGAACAAGGCGATTATTCTATTCGAGCAGAACCGCCGATGGCAAGTGAGAGCGAACTAGCGAGAACGACGGGGCAAGGACAGGCAAAAAGAGCAGAATGAATCCCAATGGCCGACAGACAACAAACAATTAACTTTTGGCAATAACAAGACTGCACCAAAAATAAACGTGTCGGGGTCCACTGAAATGGAATGTATATTTCAACGAGTCTTAAGAAACATATGACGCCAGTGAAGAAATTGTAGCGCCAATTTGTGGATGCCGCAGTTTCATTCTCTCAAAGGATTGGCGGAAGTGAAAACTACGCCGAAAAACAGACTAACATACCTTATAATACAAAATAAATCACTCATAGTCGTTCAAATGCAGTTAAATCTTTCTTTTTTTTAAAGAAAATAGAATATTGCAACAAATATAATACCTATAAAAAGCAACAAATGAGTGCGAAAAACATGTATTATATATTAACTATTTTGGTAAAAACCATAAGCGACCAATATCAAAACAGTTCTTTGGTTACACACCCCGAATATATACAAGTAGGTGAGATTTACTTTCCGGCCAGGCCATTTCCGGAAGGTATTCGCTGATATAGCATATTAGAACTTGACCCACGTTTGGTTATAAATATTACAATGTGCTAGATCAGGGAATCATTTCGTACTTTATGAGAGTTACGATTATTAAAAATGTTCACCCATTGTGGTTAAGGTGCCTGTTTCTATTAAATGTACATGATAATGGCTCTCCCCCTTGTGTAAAATTTTCGGAACACATTATTTTAAAGTAGAATTATTTCCCAGAGGTTGGTATGTTGACTCTGATATTGGGAATATATTTTTTGGAGGAGATTTTAGAACCCATTCCACCGAACGAATGTGGTTATTCCAACAATGTGGTCATATCTTGGGATTATTTCAGCCGGAAATTATAGCAGTTCCAAATTGTCGTGTGTAACAATTGCTTGATATTTTCGCATACCATACCGCACTATAGTTTTTCTATAGTTGATAATTTTTTTAAACAGCAGGTGTTCTAAACAAGAAAGTATCTACAGAGTCCCAACAATTTTTTTTAAGTTGCCGGTCTTCTGCCGGGTCTAATGCTTTTCTCCTTTGCGATAGATAGTTTAACATCGGCTACAAAGTTATCATAATTGTATGTTCATTTAAGTACCTAAAACTTAAAACTGTCTCCTTGTTTCGTTTGTTCAATACGAAAGATTTTTACTTTTAATAATGGTTGTAGTAGCGAACCTTCAGACCTGGGGTTTGAGATTAATTCCTCTGAGGCATGTCAAAACACCGGCTACACAAACTAAAGGTCATTTATATTCAATCGTCTTTTTATTATATTGAAGGATATATCTAGCACCACTTAGAAAGTTTGGATTGCCCCCGAAGCGGCCAAAATAACATATGGTCACTTGTTATATAGGTATTTTCCGAGTTTAATTCGGCTATATACCCGTTCCCCAAAAAGTATATATTTTCCCTCCGAAAAACTTTTTAGAAAAATCGCAGCGTTTTTACTAAAAAAGGAGAAACTAAATGTCTTTACTAGGATTGGTTCTGTTTGTAAATGTTTAAAATACTTTATAGTCAAAAAATATATATCTATCGGGTTTCGAAAGTTTACGATTTTTAACAAGACCTTAATTTTGAAAAGAGGCCTGTTAGTATAGAGAAATTTGCTAGAAAAAGGTAATTGAAACCTTTTTCAACATCTTCCAGCTGTCTAAAATAATTTTGGACCCTGGGTCTATTAAATTACATGCCATGATCAGAACCTTGAATCTGCTGTATAATTTTGGACTGTCTAAAACGGATTCCCTTCTACATTGTGCACCTCGTATTACCCAATAAAACCTCGAACTCCGATTAGATACTCTACTTATAAGTACCCGAATACTTGATACCCGGCGTTTGTTTCCAGGCATTCCATCATGTGGTGCTATCAACAGGTTGCAAGAGAAACAAGGAACGGTTGTCGTGTGAATTGGAATCAAGTTAAATACAAATTTGCATTCAATACAGGGATGTGCCTCAATTAGAAGATACTAAACAAAATGCCCATAATCCTTGTTGTACTTGGACAACTTTTGTAGTATTGTTTGCTAACTATATTATTGCGCCTCCAACAAAGTAGATACTTCCCTCGCAAAGTACTCAACTTTCCATCATTCTCCTGATAATATTCGAAATGTAAAGAAAAAGAAATAGCTTCACAGAAGCAACACTGCAATGCTTCAATTTGAATACGGCAACCATACGACTACTGCCGCAGCCCGCACGGCAGCGAACATACTCCAAATAGTTTTTATAGCCTCAAATCGTTGTCCACTTATACTTACAGCTTACAGCCAGATGACTCTCTGCAATTTGACCGACGGCAACAATAGACTGCTGGCGGTGGGTGTGGATGGATGGGTAAAGGACTGCTGCCACCACACTGTCTCTGTTACTACCTTTGTTTTTTTAATATCCTATTATCACTTTTTTATGGAAGTTAATCTCTGACTTTTCCAGGGAATAATATATTAATTGTGTGTTTTCACGATCACTGTGCGTTAAATTTCCATATGCGCATGTTTTTGTCGAGGTATCCACTGATGTATATGTACGAGAACCTAGTTGTACGATCGCTTGCGCTCACTTTTCTCACTGTCTCGTCGTGCCTCGCCAGCCACTCACACAGCCATACTATTCACTTTCAAGCAACAAGAACTTTGGTACACATTCAACCATTCAAAATCACAAATAATAACACATGATTTGCTGCTTTCTTTTCATATCATCCATCGCCAGTACAGATACCGAATAAAATCTATATTTCCCGATAACTGCTATTTGATTTCTCGTACGCTCGTATCTTCTTGTATTTTTTTTTTTAGAATTTGTTCAGTTAACTTTCAACTTTTATTAACTACAATTAATTGAAACCGAAAGAAGCGTGCGGTGCGGCAGAATCTGTTCGCTTGAAGATCCAAATCGAAAATGACACTAGGGATACGTAAGTCGACTTTCGATTAATCGACTCAGGTGTTCAAAAGTCTAAGAATTGAAATCGATTTTTGCCTATAGCGAATACACACTGTCATTCAAAACTAACAGTTCAGCGTAATTATCGATTGTTTTATTGGTGTTTGGCGCTTTCTATGTGGCCACGTTATTATTTATATTGGAAATAAAGCTGCCCATCAATTCATAAAATTAGTCGGACAATAGAGTGAAAGAGTGAAAACGGACTAATTATACAACTAAGGAGAAATAACTGTTTCTCCATATAGACATGTAAATAACGTTCAGTAAATTTTCTACCTTGGAACCCCTGGACGTTGAAGATGCTCCAGAAAATCGACCTATTTACCCCTTTTTTAAATGATCGACGGTTGAGAAAACATCACTTTGCCGCCCGAAATCCAATCGAGATGAAACTGCTGGAAGTAAATTAAAATTTGACAATAATTACGAGTCAGAGTAGATAATAAGAAAGTACATATTTTAATATTACAGCTAGAGTTAAACGACATCGCTAACTGCCCACACGCTCACTTGGATTTTCAATTTGATTCCATATCAACATTTCTCATACGGGGTGAGTTCAAGTCTGACGTTCTTCAGTTGGCTTTGGAGTTGGTTTGCACCACTAAATACGATTCATTTGAGAAGCTTGGAAGTATATATCCAAGAATAAGAAATGGAAAAATCAGAATTAAGTTCATTTTACCCCTGCCTGAGATAGAAGGAGGTACAACGAATGGAGCTGTTGATAGCAGTGATAGTGAAGCTCCATGCACATCAAGGGAAGCGCGGGAAAGAGCTTTCAGGAGAAATCAAAGCAGGGCAAAGGAACAAAAAGATAACTTTACATTAGTTACGGCGACGCGGGATTTCTACTCTAATCCTCATGTAATTAGTTACGCCGAGGGTGATGGTGAAGTTAAAACATGTTCAGCTGATGTATTTCATTCGCGATTTTTCAACTGCACGGATATAATATTCCCACGACTGGCTGACTTGCAGAATGGCGACTGTGTAGATGGCCGCTGGATGGATATTATTAGTTTGGATTTTGTGGGTGGTAGAATGAAATTGTAACTATACAATTTGGTAGGGAAATATTGCAAGTTTAATGTATATATGTCTTTGTTCTGCAGGAAGGATTACATCGTTCAGTTTTGTGAGCTTTACGCAAAACGCAAAGTTGAGATTCAACATGAATTGGGCTCTATAACAACCGCTGCTCTAAAGGGCCGAAGTTCGGTAAACAAAAATAGAATAGTATCATTTGTGTACATTTTACAGGATATACGTTGTATTTTTGAGTACATATCCTGCTCCACTTACACAGTCTGGTTTTTGCTTCCCACAAATTACGGACATCTTCAGGATATTAAGGAAATAAACGATGTGGGAGACATTTCGGAGAATAACATAAACTTCAATTTGATTAGAACTCAGCTGCAACTGATTGGTTCAACCACGTCTCACAAATTTCCATGGACAGAGGCTGAAATTTACATTAAGCAACTGTTCCTCGTCGCAGTACAGCTAGCGTTTGGTTATCACTTCCGCCAGAATTTAATATTTCTACACGACTTGGAGGAGGTATAGCTGCATTGAGTTTTTTTCTGTTTCAATAAGAACAAATGTAATATTGCCTTTTTAGTTAGCAATTCACCAAAATTTTGAGTATTTCAAAGCTGCCTTCAAACTGAGTCGCAGAGGGTGCCCACAGGTAATATATAAAGATCAATCAAGCAAAGGTGACAATGTCCGTTAATCTTTTAATTTACAGGTTATAGGAAAAAATTATATAAAGAGAATCATAGATGTTTGTCTAAAAAGTGGCTTGACATGCATTTTGGATTATAGAGGCGGGGAAATATTCGATGTGGAAAAGGTTGTTGTTATAGAATGTAAGAAAGTTGAAGACTGCACCTATTACACCAAAATACCTTGGTCACTCCCAATGCAATTTAATGCCAACGAAATAGCGAATTATATACGCAGAGCAACAGAGGAAGCAAAGGAAGGTAATCAATAAATCTAATCTAGTATTCCAAACAAATCCATCAGTGGATTTTTTACTCTTATACGAATAATTATGAGTTTAACAATTCTAATTTTTTCTATAAAAACATTCTCTACTACTCTTACATTCCAATGAATTACTTTCTATCATTTTTCAATAATTTTGTACATCGAAACCATTGCGCTTCACAGCCCCAATTAAAATTATCTATTTGTGAATTGTATATTAAAGTTGATTTATATTTTGTTTTCCATATATTTGTTCTTGCAACTTTTGATCTGCGTGCGATTTTTTGAATTGAAGACAAACTTTTAGTGTTTTAGCCACATTATTCGTCCATATGTTAGTGAATCTCTTCGGAATTTAAACAGTTTTAACTTTATACGAAATGGAAACTTGGCAGCATGAACAGTTTTCTTTCCAAAAATTATCACGTAGGCTCCACTATTTAGAACAGAAAACAGTATATCTTCTGAAGATTCAGTATATCAACGAATTACTTAATCTCAAGTTCTTTAAATAAATACGAAACTGGAAATGATTTTACAGTTACTGTCGATCATCTTATTCAATGATGCCCAAGTGTAGATATGCACAGGATTGGATTGTATATTTTATAGACGTTGGAGCATGAAAATGGACGGAATGTTTCGAAACTAATACACAACTGGAAATGATTTTATAGTTATTGTCGATCATCTTATTCAATGATGCCCAAGTGTAGATATGCATGGATTGGATTGAGCATGAAAATGGACACCAACCGATCATAACAACAACCTTTACAAAGTCCTCGTTTCGAATATAAAAATTAATACATTAGGTGGTGGAATAAATCTGAAATTGTCGATAGATCTTACTATACAAAAATGTTGCTCAAAACATTAGTATTATTACTAATACTGAACCAGTTCGGAATCTAGGTCAAACCAGTTAAAAAGTATCAGTCGGTTTAGCCGACAGATGTGTATACACTCAGCCAATGTTCGATTATTTAAATATATTTTGACTTCTGTTCTGATTGTTCAAATTGTTGACCCTCTATGAATTATGTTCCGAAGGAATGGGCCAATATTGTCCATTTCGTGTCGGGCCTAAATATGATATAAAAATTACGACGTGGCTAAGGATTTGCAAAGTTGGAGTTTTTTTTTGGAAAATTGGACCGATGTTCCCCATCTCCGAACTCGATCTAAGTAGTATAATTATCAAGCAAACGATGTACCAAGTTTAGACCAAATGTAATAATACTTTCGAATCGCTAGATCGATTCCAAATGTCCTGAAACTAGGGTCTAAAACCCCTTACTTCGATAAGGCACGTTTTGGCCGTATTCATATTTATTTTATTTTAAACACAGTAGACCGTAGTCGAAGTATTAACTTCATGTAATATAAAATGTACGACTATGACATATTGTTTAATACATTCTATAGATCAGAGAACCGAATTTGTAATATGGGAAAATGTCGAAATAGATTGTTAAAAATCTTTAAAAATTAAAATTTAATCTTTCCATATTTTGAAATGAGACCAATTTTTAGTATTCATCGGAAGACAAACTTCCTAATAATAATATGTTAGTATATCGTCCTATGGGTCAACGTAAATGCCGGCGATGTGGATGTATTATGGAATGAGACTTCTAATTTCGTGTAAACATTGATTTTCGAACATCGATTTGTATTGTTCGATATTAGTGCGATAATCTCTTCAATTCTTGTGAGGACATAACCACTGGGACAAAGGCATCGCATTTTGTGCAAGTGGTGTTACAATTGTTATAAGGATCCCTTTGCATTAGCAAATATTTCATCCAAATATCGTTGCTGTCGTCCAATTTCTTTGAATTACAATTAGAAATGTGGAAGTATTTGTTTGATATATATACATTTCCTGGCCCAGACCTCTGTCTATATGCATTCCGAAGTTCCAATTTCAGTTCAAAATTTTGCCTTTCTAGCTTATGGACATGTTGTACAAGTGCATCCTTTGACCTCTTGAGAATACAGTCGGCATGAGGTTTTTGTAAATTCTGCTCAAAGTTTGTTAGTGTTTTAATTTGTTTGTACAATTCTCTTGCCAGATAACCCTCCGTTACAACCGCGACCTTTGCTAGGACACAAATACAAGCGAGCAGACAAATGAAATTCACATAAAACTCCTTTACATGATATTGAGGAATTGTTGGTAGGTAAGAGAAGTCATTCTGTTCCATTTTTAATGTCTGAAATGCTATTAAGACCTTATCACATTCATAATCAATGCGAACTAAAATGTAAAACATACCATTATGTTCATCGATATTTTCCGGTGAATACATTAGGTATTCCTCAACTTTTTTCAAATAACAGAGAATTATCCAGGAGAAAAGGCCCAATGAAGAAAGAAAGAGGAATTGAACCGACATTATTTAGAATTTTCAATTTTGATTCAAGTTGATTCAAATAGCATTGCTTACTATAATTTTAAAGTTGTGTGTTCTTGGTTGCTAAGCCTGGATATTTTCTTAGCAAAGTTATAGTCGAAAATGGGATTTACGTCTGAGAAAAATCTTGGACTGTCTTCTGCAGGTGTTACAACGTATCTACCTCTTCGTCTCTTTCACATAGTCTGCAGTGGTCTGGTTAGCCACTTATAGTGCATTCAAATTCTGATTCAAAAATTTTTTGACAAGTGACTCTCCAACCGATTTTAAAAACAGAAAAATATATAAAATGCCAACATTTATACAAAAAGTTCAAAACACGACCTAAAATAACTAAACAAAGTATTAAACCATTCATGAATAAAAATTGTTAAATGAAAGATAAAATAAATCTTTAGAGGAAAAACAATAATTTCTTCTATTATTATTAATGCAAATTTCGTGTACTTTCGTACAAAATCGTATAAAAATCAACAAACAAAAAGTTTGATAAAAGGAATCATGCATGGCAGAAGAATACAGGTAGATGCATCAACCCTTGGGAGCATTGATATGTCAAAAAAATTTAAATGTTTTTTTCAAATATAAGTGGAATTTTATATGTTTTCTTATACTACATCATTTGGAGGCTATTATAATTCGCATTTTTCAATAATTTTTACAAATTTAAATAATTTTTCATTCAAAATGTTCAATTCCAAAATTGGTTTGACAGTTCATTGTCCCAGCAGCTGTGTCGACGCGTCTACCTATATTCTTCTACCATGGAATCATGTTACTATGAATTACGAATCGTACGGTATGAATGGGTTAATCCGTTTACCTGATTTTGAGAGCGAACAACGTGATTGAAATTGCAATGAGAACATAGCATAAGTCGAACAATCGACTATGAATTGTCGAGTACTCGGTTTTCATCCAAGTCATTAGTCGAGTTTCCGAACTTTGAGTACTCAAAGTCGATTAATTGGAAGTCGACTTACCTATCCCTAGTAATCTTTATTGAGAAGAATATTGGACATTGTTGGTGGCTTGTCGAGAGTTGGGACAATACAACACACACAAAATGGGCAAAGGATTTAATAATTACATGTGCAAAAAATTCTTCCATCCCGCATCCAGGGACAATCTGAAGCGGGTAAGCGGGTTATAAAATGCATTTCCGTGTTTCAAATACTAAAGTGATATATGATTTCAGGTATGGATGGCCGAGCAGCAAGCTGAAGCTTATAAAAAGAAGCAGGAGGAGCTTCGCAGCCAGTACGAGAAGGAACAAAATTTGCATGAAAACAAGGCCATGATAAGCAAAGAGAGCAGGGACAAACTTAGTGTGAACTTTATGTACGAGCCTCCGCCAGGTGTACGGAAGGAACGCGAAAAGGATGATAATGAGCCAGAATACAAATTCGAGTGGCAGCGGAAATACAATGCGCCTCGTGAGTCTTACTGCAAAGGTGATACTGAAATCCGGGACCAACCCTTTGGCATTCAAGTCCGCAATGTCAGATGTATCAAATGTCACAAGTGGGGTCATATAAACACCGATAAAGAATGCACAATGTACAGCATATCGATGAGTGAAGCTCGAAAACTGCATTCGGAGGCAGAAGCTGCCGATATCATGACCAAATCAGTCTTGGAAGAACAGATGAAAAGTGATGGTTTAATGATGAAACGTTCCGCCTTGGAACTGCAAAACACCAATAGTCAAACTCATGCTCTGGTTCCTAGCGACCCCGAGGACAATTCCAGATCCAATGGCGAGGAGGAGGTCAATCCTGAGAAAACGTTTTTGAAATCACTTACTAAGGAGCAGAAAATTAAACTGCTTAAAAAACTTGAGAAAATAGAAAAACTAAAGAAAGGTAAGAGTGACAAAAGCAAGAAAAAAACAAAGTCCAAAAAGGATAAGCGCCGTGAAAAGTCGGGAAAAAGTAAATCAAGACACAAGAAAAAACCAAAATCAGACAGCTCTTCGTCATCAGACACGGACAGTGAAGACGATTCCCGCAATGACCATCTCCAGGAAACCAAAAAATACAGTGACAAAGAACTGCATTCGCGTTCACAAGAACTAGCAAAAGATCGGAATGATGGCCGTCAAATGTCCAGATCTAGAGATCGTAAACATATAGGCAGAACATCAAAATCCAGATCACGGGAACGAGGTCCCAGGCGTAGCAGATCTAGATCTCGAGAGCATCATCAACGACACAGACGTTAGATTATTTAATACCTATTTGTAAAAAATATAAATCCAACCAATAAAGATTTTTTACAAAACAACTAAATAAAAAAGTGGAAAAAAAATAAATCCAACCAATAACGATTTAAAAAAAATAATAAAAATAATTTTAATTGATATTTATGAATACCATACTTCAAGCAAGCATGTGGCACTATGGTAACCAAACTCTGGTATAAGGAGCAGCCAGGTTAGTATTGGTATTTCACACAAAATCGAATACAGTCATTTTTAATTTATATTCATAATCATCATATTTTAAGCAAATGTGTAAACAAAATGGGCCATTGACAAATTCGCATGAAAATTAGATCCTAGCTGTAGTGGGGGTACTAGAACCGGCAGCAACGCATAAATCAGTGACATGACTTCCCGAATCACGTGGAATACTCTGAAATAAATACCAATTGGATAATATCGAATGATCATAAAAAAAAAACAACTAACCTTAACGTGGATATTGCTCTTGAGTAGAGCAGCTCTTAATACTAACATTCGCGTACGTCTTTGATATTCCTTTCCCATAAGAATTGCTCTCTCGAAAGTGCTGCTGCGTTGGTCTGTTTCCTTGGCATAGAGAATTTTATTATGGGAATCTATGCGCGCCTGGATCTGTCCTTCCAAAATCAACTGCATTACTTCGTTCTCAAGAGCTTCGACAGTGCGATTGAAGGAAGTAGCCATTTTACGCATATCAGCCGACAAATAAGGACTAAAGTACTGAATCAAAGCACGATTACGGATTTTTGTGTATAGAGTATTGACATGGGGTGCAATGTACATATCTAATAGAAGGTTATCCCTTATTTCGTCGAGCAGTGTCAGACATGATGCGTATTTAGATTCATAAAATTTGAAGACAATATCCCGTAGTTGCGGTTCCAATTCCAGAAATAACTTAAATGAGCTAGAGGAAATTACATTTTTTTGCAGTTCTTGGCGATCAAAAGTGGCCAATGCACACAGGCCACCATACATGGCGACGTTGTTTGGAGATATCATTTCAGGAAAGTCGCAATGGTCAAAGCTGGCCTGAAGAAAGAATTTTGCAGCTAGCTTGTATTTTTTGGTTTGCAGCTCGGCTAAACCAGCCGCACACTTCAGACGTGTTAGGACAGCCTACGATAAAAGGATACATAACTTTGTAAAAACACTAAGTTTGCACAAAAGAAATGATTTCTAACCTGGTTTGCATCCTTTGAACTTTCACTGAAATCTGGAGTACTTTCTGCTTTAGAAACGTAGCTTAGGACGTGCGACCAATTTTGCAAATAGAGTGACACCTTTATGACATTCAAGCACATGTTTACCACATCTTTGCCGCTGGTACAATAGTCCCTTGCTCTGGAATAGCATTTGAGTGCATTTGATAGATCCCCGCAACTCAGGTAATGATCGCCAAGATCATCGTGACCTCTACGTATACTTTCTTTTATGGAGCTTGATTTAAAATTCTTAAGGTCAGAATCCAACTTTTCTAACTTAAGAGCAGCCTTCTTGCTTTTAGTTTCAACCCAACTCTGGTCAAAAACTGGCAAATCTCCCTGGGCAGCCAATGCCGGCTGGGCCGCAATATCTGGAAGGGGTCCACCAGAAGCGTTCGCTCCTCCAGCACCGTTACTGTTAACATATATGTCGTTCAGCTTCTTATGTAGCACTCGATACATGGTTACGTTGTAGGTGGTCATCACATAGTTAATTGCCATTTTTAAGGCCTCTAGTCGCAATGATGGACAAACATCGGCCACGAAAATCAAGCGATACAGACGGGCCAAACCCACATAAGAGTTAGCGTAGACCTCCAAGTCCAATGTTGGATTTTCCACAATAAGATGGTGTTCCTCGTTGTTGTCGTTGTCCTCCATTGGAGCATCGACTTGCATTGGTTCGATAGCATTCTAAACGACAGAGGACAAACAAAGACAAACATACGTACTCGTAATAGAAGTACGTGTATATTATTCTTACCTGTGCCAAAGGAGGCAGGGGCATTTGAGGCATGTCTTCTACAGAGTTTTTTCTTTTAGTAGGACACCAGATATTCCTATATTCTTTCCAATTAAATAAAAGGTCTCCACAAACGTAACGTAGGTCGGGGGACAATTATTTGGAAATGTTTATATTCCGAACGTCGCTATTATCCTTTAAAATTAAAGGTATTAGTGAAAGAATAGGAAACAACAGGTAAAAATCAATAGTGAGGAGTACCTCGAAAATATCCTGTACAGAGTAGATTCTCGGTACAGAGATGGGTGATGAAGCCACAGTGTTCACAGTGTTCGTTGAAGAAGATGAAGTTTCCACAAATTCTTCATAGGGATAGGTAAGTCGACTTCCGATCAATCGACTTTGAGTACTCAAAGTTCTGAAACTCGAACTCGTCTATGGATTTGGGTGAAAACCGAGTACTCGACAATTCATAGTCGATTGTTCGACTTATGCTATGTTCTCATTGCAATTTTAATCAGATTGTTCGCTCTCAAAATTAGGTAAACGGATATTAACCCGGTCACACGGCACGATTCGTAATTCATAGTAACATGATTCCTCTTTTCAAACTTTTTGTTTGTTTATTTATAAAGGAATTTGAACGAAAGTACTGGATATTAGCATTAATAACAATCTCTAAGAGTGAAAATAAGTAGAACATTTTTTATTTGGTGGTTTGTGTGTCCGTGTGTGCAGCAGCAAACCGGTTTTGATGTTGCTGTGAACTTCGAAGTTGGGGAGGCAGATTGTTCTTGTTGATCGTGTACAAAATCAAAGAAAGGAGCAGCAGAATGAATGGATCGGTGGTGTGTACAAAACGCATTCCTAGAAGATTTCGAACAGTGTTGTGGTTTTTGAAGAAAATATCTTTAAAGAAACTGACGAAATTGGTTTGACAGTTCAGTGTCCCAACAGCGGCGTCGATGCGTCCGCGGCTCGTGTATTGAATGTTTCCGGCTGATTGTGTTGTTCTCGTTGTTCTCATTCGTAAACAACAAAGTTCGCGGGTATTTTATTTTCTGTTTATTTTTTATCGGCCATTACCTGTTTGCCTTCTTATTCGTTTCGTTGGGCACGTCTTTTCTTTTGGTTTCGACGCAGGAATCACGGATGAACTCTCAGAAACATTGCCGGAGTTAGTCTCTATTACCCAATACCACCTTACAAAGCGTACACACAGTTGCAGAGTACAATTCGTGGCGGAATAAAGTCTACGCCATAACAAACAGAAATCACCACACCACGTGTTGAGGATGCGAGGTGATCAACAAGTAAAACAACAAGAAATGGAACAATATTCTGCGGAGGAAGAAGTGACTAAAGAAAGCCAAGAAGTGGTCGACAAGAAGGAAGATCCTAACTCTGGAGAAGTGGTTCCTTCAGAATTTGGATATCTCCAGCGCAATGAGTTCACTTCCGAAATTTACAAAATAGAAGTGCGAAATCTGGGCTACTTTGGAATAGGGGTATGTACGACAAACTTGGCATGATATCAAGCAAATGTCTGTAATTGTGTTTTTTATATGGTAGGAGTTTAAAAAGCTTTTGAAGAGCAAGCTCAAGCTGGACATGAGCAAGATAAAATCGCCACAGCGGAAAGATTTTGCATTTGTTTGTTTCCGAAGTCAGGAGGATCAAGAGAAAGCATTATCGTTGCTTAACGGGTACAAATGGAAGGGGAAAGTTTTACAAGCACACGTATGTTATCACACACCTTAGATTTCCGTAGAATTAAGGAAACATATTTCCTTCTAAGCAAGTGTACATTCCCCTAGTTTTGTTAAACTTTCGTGTAGAAAGTGATAAACTGTACTGGATGGATTCTGTACCCATTGCTCATATGGTAGATTAAGCAACTTCCAATATCATTGATTTTTATTTGAAAGTGATTTTGGTTTTTGTACACAGATCGCAAAGGCTTCGGCCGATCCATTACAGCGTAAAAGAAAGGAAGCAGGAAATGTCGAGGACGTTGAATCCAATAAGCGACAAAGGTCGTCGGCCGAGGCCACCTGTCCGTTGTCCGGTATGCCATACGAGGACCAGCTTAGGCAAAAGGATTCCAGTATGAAGGAATTAATAAAAAAATTTGTTGGTGAATTGAAAAAGACCAACCGCGACTCGGCTAAGAATTTAGAAAACTTCAAATATGAAGGTGTACTTCCGTCACCAGCAATTGACGGTTACCGAAACAAAAATGAATTTACTGTAGGCAAAAATGGTCAAGGCGAAGTTGTGGTGGGCTTTCGACTTGGAAGCTATGCTGACGGTTCAGTAGAAGTCGCTGAAGTGGAAACCCTGCCCCACATACCAAAAGCGGCAAAATGGGGAGCGAAATCCTTTCAGAACTTTGTCAGGAAGTCTAGATTTGAACCATTTAATCCCGAAGGCAATGCTGGCCACTTCAAACAGCTAATGGTACGAACATCTTCATCAAACACTAATGAACTTATGTTGGTTGCAGGTATTTATTCTTCCAACTTGAGTGATAGTGACTTGATGGAATTAAAGCGTGACTTAAAAGAGTATTATGAAACGATCGAAGAAGGTGACTTCAAATGCTCCTCGCTATATTATCAAGATGTGAAACACCGTGAAGCAGGACAAATGGTTTCGCCCGTGGAACACCTTTCGGGATCAACCCATATATTCGACACAATCCACGGGCTAAACTTTAGAATTAGCCCGTTAGCATTTTTTCAAATTAATACAGCTGGTGCCAATGTTTTGTATCAGAAGGCAATAGATTTAGCTGCTCCGAAAGCTCACTCAACCGTATTGGATATTTGTTGCGGGACTGGGACGATTGCACTTGCATTTGCAAAGCATTGCAAACAAGTTCTGGGCGTTGAAATTATTCCAGATGCCATTAAAGATGCGGAATTCAATGCAGAAAATAATCACATCTCAAATTGTAAATTTTACGCTGGAAATGCCGATGACTATATACAATCCATGGTGCGCGAAGTTACCTACGGAACGCCCCCCGGATCTCCTTTGAATATTATTGCCGTTGTTGATCCCCCTCGAGCAGGACTACGTATGAATTGTCGCTATCTAATTTGCTTCCTCATTCACTAAAAATCGTTTCTTTCTACAACTTTTCACAGACAATCGATCGATTGCAGCGATTCGGGCAGCGGAAGGAATTAAACGATTGGTGTATATATCATGTAATCCACAACGAGCACAACGAAATTGGATTGAATTGGGTCGGCCGCAATCAAAACAGTATAAAGGTGATCCGTTTTACCCTGTAACCGCCGTGGCTGTGGATATGTTTCCCCACACAAGTCATACAGAGATGATTATTCTTTTTGAGAGGAAGAACGATGTCGAAGAGCGTACAGATGTTGACAGAAATCAATCTACGACTTTAGTTGATGCAGGAACCACAGAGATTGCAGCAGATACCATAGGCGAAACATAATTACAGGTTATAATATATTTGCAGTCTAGCGACTTGTAGTTCTTAAATTACATTTTTTTTATTTTATTTGTACTTCCTAACAATACAACACATATAAGTAGTTTACATAACGTGCATAAATTACCTAAGTGCACAATAATAAATGAGATTGCCGGCTTCGTTAAAAGAAATCATTGTGATCTCTGGGCAACCCAAAAAAAAAAAAACATCCATTAATTATTTCGGTACCAAATATACAACGCATATTCTGTAACAGCAACGACATACATGTGACATAATTGCGAGTGGTGGGATGATACTAGACTCTGCAAAATTAAATCAATGGGCAATTCATATGCACGCGCAATACCTGTCCATCTACAATATTCTCATCCGTTTCTGAATCCAGCCAAACTATATTGAAATATTTATCGAAACGAAATTGGGTTCTCGCACCAAAATAATGCTAAGTATGAGCGGGGCTGGCAAGAGTAGTTAAAGGGTCATAGGCAGGTACGAAAACAAGAACAAACCATATGAACATACTTCTGGCTGCAATATTATTTAAAATGCACATCATATTCACAATTCCACATAACAGTTGGAATTATGTCTGGGACGATTGATATTGGAAATGGTCTTCATGTTTGGTGTTTCAGTAGTTTCTGTTTCATTAGTGGCCGGTCATTTATTTTACAGATCCTATTCGCATATTTCAGCCGAAGGGGATCTAATTTGTTATAACTGAAGTTTTTACATCGCGAGGCCCCGGTCGGAATTAACACCATTTTCACAGATTCCCATGTTTTAGGATTTCTTTTGAAATCACACCAATCGAATTCAAATGGACTTTGGCCGATATTCACGCTAATAAAAGTGTAAATGTGTCAAATACAGAGAGACATACATACTATATAAATACATATAACGCCACAAATAGACGTTTGTTTGCATACTTTTGTTTTTGTTTACAAATAAAAGATTAAGCATGCTGTCGATTAGATCTGTATTTTGAACTAAGTCAGTAAATTATTTGCAAAGTTTAATGATTTTGTGTCAGATTTTGAAAGAAGCAAAGTTTCTCTACAGTGAAGAAAACCTTGAACACAAAAGCTCTACCACCTGACGACAAAACACACCCCCGATTTTCAAGTATAAGCATATTTTTTTACTGCTAATAATTTTTTTTAAATACCTTGATAGCTTGCTAAATACTGATGATAGTGTTGATGCTTTTGTTTACATTCAGAAAATAAAATTAAAAATAAAACACAAACAACATGTGAGCGGGCAACGACATGGAACAGAACGAGGGCTTCTGAGAGAAACAAAACAAAGGAAACTAAAAAGCTCCCACCGAACGTAAACATGTTTACGGAAATTTATTTTCTTTATTCTTGTTTTACAACTCTTCAACGGTCAGTCACAGTCACGTTCACGTGCTGCCGAGATGGCAAGACAGATGCGCGACTATTCAAGCTATGTCCAATCCATTTTCTGCGCCCATTGTTTCAGACAAAGCGAGTTGGGAACATCTGTCCTCTTCGCACATGAACCTGCTTTGAGGGTGGAATACGTATTCCTTCGTGCTTTGTTCGAGAGCGGCAAGCACCAACTATTTCTGCGGAATGATTAGACCCATAGCGACACCAGCGAGTGTAGTACCGCCTTTTGCTATCATCACCACACACACGCGACAATAGTTTTTTTTATCTTTTGATATTTTTCTTTATAAATTATATTATATTTTTGATGCAACAACAACGAATGTGCTCTGCGGACGGACGGACGGCCAATAAAAAGCTCGAAGAAAGCTACTGTTTGCTGTTTTGCTTGGGTTATAAAGGCCAAACCAAACGCCCCTCCGTTGTTATTCGCCTGAGAACGCTTAAGAAAAATAATCACGGTGACAAAGTCAAGTCAATCGTAAACCACCAAGGGCAAACAATAACAAATTAAACAAAAAAATAGAAGAAAACAGCCATCGATTTTGCTCGTTTGTGTCGTTGTACGTTTATTTTTATTAATTGCGCCCGAGTGGAAGTGCAAAACATTTTAATTGTGACAAAAGCAATGAGGAACTTTTTAACAAATTGTGAAGCAGCAACTTCAACATGAGCGTTTGCCAACTGTGAGACAACGCTGCAACGCACACAGCAACGTGAAATACAAGAATCGATTTAGCAGACCAGGTCTGAGGTATTGGAAAACTGCCGCCCCCTAAAACGCTGACCTGCTTCAAAGAACAGAATATGTCTGTTCCGGCCGTTTTGCTTGCGGACAACCCCCTTACGCTGGACGAGTGCAATCAAACAGTAAATACCCACACTAGCATTTGTCTTCACACACCATCCAATGGTGAATTCATCTGACTTCTGCAATCAAGAGTAATTATTCTACCATCTGTCACGGCGGTGGTTTGTCCTCTCATATAAATCTCATTTCAACGTGTAGTTTAGTGAAGTATAAGTTCCTGGCGAGGTGGACATGGGATTTGGGTTGTCCTTAGTTGTGCTTGGCCCACACTGTTCATGCAATTACCCATACGTCGAAATTTTATGACACAGTGGATGTTCATTAAGTATGGAAAAGAAGTTAATGTTATCTTCAAATGGGGGTACTTCTTCTTGAGGATTATCTTTTTGGATGGGCCCACAACGAAGTTACTCAATGTGTCCCAAACATGATGCGACTTAGTAATTGCCTTTGATAATCACAGAGTTTGCCCGAATTTTTGGTTGTTGTATGTCGAGGGCTATATTGAATGAACATAGTGTAGCATCTTTAAATCTGAAATTTGATTTCCGCTTAGTTCAATAGTTGTCACTAAAAACATATTTAAACAATTATCATTTTTGCCAGACAATTCCTAAAAACTACATTGATTAAAATATTCCGTGGACAGACGGAACCACGAGCGGAATCATGAGCATATCACCAAATTTTTATGTTTTGTAAACAACTGAACAACAATACGATTACCTAAAACCGGTGGACTATCATCCATATTTGGCAACATGACACATTTTATTCGCCAGTGAATTGTGGTAGTGATTTATGCCGATCCGGGGATTAACATTTCAAAAGAGTTCTTTCAGAAAGATTGGGGCTTGGGCACTTCGATTTAACCCCGATGAAAAAACTTTAATTGTGTGTGTGTGTGTGTGTGTGTTTTTTCTCATACCGCACTAACGTTCACACATGTAGGCTTCAAACATATTCATTTGTTACCACTACCATTTGAACGACCATAGGCAAATGCTCTTTTGGCTACATGCCAATCACGCTCAAATAAACGACACGATGATTTTATCTCTTCATATCTCGTGATTCCTGAAGAAGACCAACAAATGCCCCGAGCAGAAAGTCGTTTAGTATTGCTCGAATTTTCAGACACACAAATGTACATAGGCAGTGTGATCTTGGTGTCGGTAGTTGGCATAAATAAAAGTAAAAGAAAGTATTCTATACGTTGATATGTTTGTTTTAAGTGTCCAAAGAGGGAAATTATATTTGAAAATATCAAGACAATGTAATCTGTCGAAAACGAACTGTACTCTATTTTCGAAACTATTGTTCCATCTGTTGTCGTCGAACAGCGAATCGGATCGAACACTGAATCGCTATATTTACATTCTACGTTCCCAACACTACTCTGACAATGTCCAGGTAATTAAGGCGTCGCATCAGCCCACACATGGCACCCTGTGGTCAATTTTATTATACTGTTCGAAGGTGGAATATAGAGATACGAGATTTGAAATTTTATCAAACTTCGTCGGATATTTTGTGAATTTTGAGTAGCTTGTTTTACAGTGACTTGTTGCAGGTCCTGTTATATGCGATATAAACAATTTACACAAGACAAAGATTCAACTTTGCTTCCTAGATAATTGAATTTAAATTGTAATTCAAAATTCATTACATTTTACTCGATATTCGAATTATTTCAATGAAAAATAACTGCATTTTTTCTCAAGTTCTAAATGGAATAATTGAAATGAAAATGGAATGAATAATTCGAATTGGAAATATGTAATCCCCAATGCCAATTTGCTTGTCAAAATTCATAGGAATATTTAAACAAAAAATATAATAATACATTTAAAAATTAATTTTACCCCCACTGTGCCTGGACAACGTAGTATGACGTAAAGATTTAAGAGACAAATATCATCAATAGATCGTTTTGTTTGCTACGCCAAATTTGGGTAGATTGTTGTTTAATTAGATTTTCGCTATCTAAGCTTTCAAATTTATAACGCAGCTCTAAAATTGAGCGATTGGTGTCACCGATGCCATGGGACAAACATCATGTTCTGTCTTCTGTCCACCATTCAGTGCAGATAAGAGAGGTGGCTTATGATAGGAACAGTGCAGAACTAATCACAACAGAACTATAAAACTCGGACCCATACACATTTGTGTTTATTGTTTCGTCCCGCCTCATTTCGCCTGCCATTCTGTCACGTTCAGCGACTTATCATCAAATAGACTGTATGTACAAACGCTTCGACAGTTGCCTCGGTTAGGCATTTGAGACAAACGCTACAGTATACAAGTTCTAGCGCTCACGTGTGCACGTATTCGATCGGAACACAGCTCATTGCTAGCTTCAAATCATTTTTCTTCCATCCACACATTGCAAGGCAATGGGGCGATACATTTTCTTAATATTGTCGGTTATTCTTTCTCGACAGAGTGACACGTTTGGGGATGCAGCGGCCGTCACAACGTTCGGCAAGGTCGATGCGACGGTCAGTGCGGTAGAAGCGGTAAAGGACGAGGTGGTTTCACCGACATGTGTACCGACCCTGCGGGCATTCAGTGTGCTCGTGAAGCATGACCTCGAACCCAATGAGTATGTGGGCTTGACGGGAGATAACAAGGCTCTGGGCGAATGGCAACTGGAAGGGGCCATTGCCCTGGAGCGGAAGAACGGCACCATAGAATGGACCACCAAGGTTCTACTGCAGGCATGCCGCAACTTCCATTATCGCTACTTTACCTTTGTCGAGGACAAGAGCGGGCAGAGGCATATTCGGCTGTGGGAGAGCCATTTGAAGCCACGTATTCTTGGCGGATGTGTGGCCCATTGCCCCCAAATGGACGTGTTCGGTCAGCAGGAAAATGGAGACGTGCAATTAAATAGAGGCTGGATAACGAATGAGGTTGTCTATCAATTCAAATTTGAGCGAGAACACATGTTCCAAGTCCACGACATTGAAAAGTTCGATCCGGAAAATGTGTTGATCAAGTTGCTACCATTGGAAGAGGACCACCAAACCGCGTTGGACATCCAGGCGGCTGGGGTAAACATTGAAGTGGTCAAAATGAACAACGGCGCGAGTCGCTTGCAGAAGCAAAATTCATTGGGCGTGGCGCACAAGCGAAACGAGGTTGTCATTTTCCATGTGACAGTTCCTAAGACTATTAATCCGGCATATGAATTACAATTCCACTCTGCCGACGGCAAGTCCATGGGCAGTGCTGTTATAGACCCATCTCAGTTGCGGGGCAGTGAAGGAGAAATAGAACTCAGTATTACGATGGCGACGCCAAAAGGCGAATCTCCGGTGATTGCGAGATTGAAATTGCCATATTTGGTTGTGAAACCATTCAGCGATGTCGGTATTTTAGATTTCCGCACAACCTATGCACACTACTGGCCAAGGAGCTGGCCCATTTTGGACGTCGGACACAGAGGAAATGGAAAAAGCTACATAGCTAATCCGCCAGTAGAACTAGAGAATACGGTGGCGTCATTCCTAAAAGCCTACGAAGTGTTTGCGGACATGGTCGAATTGGATGTCCATTTGACTGCGGACGGAGTACCTGTGATATATCATGATTTTGGGCTACGAACGGCTCCTCAGGGCAAAAAAGTCACGGATGTGACCCAGCTAGAGTATGTTTTAATAAAAGACGTCACATATGCCGAGCTATGTGCCCTGCGAGTTTTTGCCGTTATTAACAACGAGATTAAAGAATATCCCTCCCACAACTCGGAGCCAATAGTAGAGCGTCGTATATTCCCCCGCTTGGTCGACGTCTTGCAAGCATTACCCAAAACTCTGGGCATCGATGTCGAAATCAAGTGGCCTCAGCGAAGGAAATGTGGCGGCGTCGAGGCAGAACAGACCCTCGACAAAAACTTTTTCGTAGATCGGGTCCTCGAAACGATAATTCACAAAGGCTGCGGCAGGCCATTGATATTCTCCAGCTTCGATGCTGACATCTGCACCATGCTGCGCTTCAAGCAAAACATTTTCCCCGTTATGTTCCTCTCAATGGGCGAGACCAAGAAATGGGAACCTTTCCTCGATCTCCGCACAAGGACATTTCAGCAGGCCATCAACAACGCCCAGGCATTTGAGTTGGCTGGTACAGCTCCCCATGCCGAAGATTTTATTGACAATGAAAACGCCGCTGCGATGATGTCAAAGGCCCGTTCCTTGGGCCAAATAGCCCTGGTGTGGGGCGATGACTGCAATTCCAAAGAGGCCGTTAAATACTTCCAGAAAATAGGCGCTACCGCTACCTGTTACGATCGCAGTGACCTCTACATGCCGGAGAACAAAAGCCGATCTTTCTTCAATTCCAGCCTCTCGCTTGATGAGTTCCAAGGCCAGTGCCGTCAGTAGACAACGCGATCTACCGACACCCAACTACCAATCCTTCCAAATACCCCCTTTTCAGCATCTTAGAAATTAGATTATCTATTTTTGTAAGCCTTTTATGCACCGACGTAAGTATGTAAGTATTGTTAATAAAAAGTATCGGACAAGCCGCGGTGTAGTGGTGTGCGGCAGACAGTGAGTGCTTGTTACGTTTTTTTGTTTTCTTAAAAAGTAAAAAATTAAATAAATGAATAACAATAAAATTGATTGCATTTAATGCATTTTGCTTTAAAATTCTCGAATGGACGGGCGGGTGCTTCAAGATCGGTGGTGAGTATATTTCTACAATGGATTTGTTTTCAAACGCTCCAAACAAAATGTGGAGCCAACAAATGTGGGAGAGGGAAGTGCTAGGCAACTAAAATGCACCATTGGGTGCAAGCGTTTGTACTGGAAGCTACTCTGTAAGCCGCCATCTCGGGGGATTCCAGCTGATACAGCCGTCATGTATAGACGGAATAAACACTAATAAATATGGATTTATAGTTGATTAGTTAACAAATAATAAAATACGTTTAACTGCATAAACAAGATTTTTCTCTATTCCAAAAATGTAACAACATTAGGTCTGAATTGGATTCAAATTTAGAAATTAATCATTGGAACTTCTAAAAATTGTCACATCGACCTCACAACGTCTGACTAAATATCGACTGATCAAACTTTCAATTATTCCTGAGCAAATTTTCTCAGTGGTTCAGCTGTCAACTTTGCTCCCGCCACTCGCTGGACGGGACTTTTGAGTTGTTGAACAATGGTCCGTAGCAATTTGTACAAAATCTTACATGAGTCGGGTTGACTTTTTCCACTATGGCAGTAGTAGTAGAACATAAAACAAGTGCATCATAACGTGCTTAAACGCGGGAAATAACATTTTTAAAGGCTACCACGAAAGGCTATATTGGGATAGAAACCACATCTATCATATAGGCGTTAAACCGAATTTTAATAAAATTTGCAATGAATTATCCTTAATTATGTGAGATGACTGGAGGACATGTTATATTGACAATTTCCCACTTGCATTGCCTCTAATGTCACCCTCTTTGCCTGGAGTTCATCGTTTCATCGATGTTCTGTTCCAGTACCTAGAAGAACCTACTACTTTTGCCATTTTTTTTTTCGATATAATAACGGGAAAATCGTTTATCGTAGTAAAAACTTTACATTCTGGCAGTTCTGAAACAGACCACGAGATACGATGAACATGGTTCTATCGACAACCAATCTAAATTGAAAACGTCAAGCCACATAAGTTTTGTATATGCCGAGAAAATAGATTTAACATAGATTTCTTCCAATTGACCAAGTAGAAAAGTGAGCACTCCTCCCGTAGGGTATCCGACATTCAAACACTCAATAACTATAACTTTCATCACATTTGAGTCATATAGATTGGCGGCATATTGATAACTTGTTTCTTTCGTTTATCGTTGACGTTGGGCCAAATGATACCAAAAACCTTCGTCTGTACGAATTGTGAGTGTGTGCGAGCCCGTTGCGGTGGGAATCATTAAAATGCTCAAAATCATTTTAGAAGAGAAGAAAACGACACATTGTTGTTCAGCGGTTACAACAACTTTCCAAAACCAAGGCAGAGCAAGTCACAGATTCTTCCCATAAATCCAAAGGCCAGAGACAGCTATTTTCAGTTGTGATTTGATGGTGGCCGGTGCAAACACCAACCAGACAATAGAAAAATCAGATAGCAGATATATTAACAAATACACAAACTAGTTCTCTTTAAAAACATATTGACGATTTGACGCTTGATTCTAGTCTAGTTTGAATGGGGCTATTGAGCGCAGCCTTAAGCCAGGTATCTTAAAGAATGCAATGTATTTGCCCAGCCACTGCAAAACGACAACAACATAGTAACAAAACAACAAATAAGAGATAAGGTTCTCGGCTCGCCCATGTTTTGCTGTTAATGGTGGGCAGTTTCATTCGCAATTTGGAAATTTCGCATTCACAGTCCGAGGTAACAAATGTCAACCGCCGCCCACAGATGGAGCAATTTAGGCTGGTTAATGTGCTTGATAAATGTTTGCAGCAGTCTGGTGTTGACACCAACCAACAGCCATGAGCTTTTGACTACCAACAGAACCAAGAGGTAAGCTATTTTCGAAAGCTTATTTGTTTCCAAACACAAAAATCTATTTGACGGCTTTTCTGTACACTGAATGGCGCCCAAACAAGTAACATTTGGATGTTAGTGCTGGCAAACGCCACTATGCTAATGTTTTCAGCACACCATACTGCAAAACAGAACCCAAAATGAGGTATAATAACAGTTAGTGGAGACGACTATGCGATGCCCTATTCGAGTTGAGGACGAACACTGGTAAAATTAAGTCGGATAGAAGTTATACTGGTTCGATAAAGGAATATATGTTGTGAACCCTTTTCCTAAACTATGATGCAGAGTGGGGGGAATGAACGAATGCTTACTTCATTTCTATTGAGTACCAAAGGTAACGCACATCTATTCTGAACTAGATTTTCCTGTCTATTAATGTCTCGTTGTCCCCGATTTCCGAAATATTTGTTAAATTTGAACTGATTGCCAGAGTGGGCAAGAAACAAGATCCACATTTTTAAAGGTGTGGGCGATTATTATTTTATTATCTACTCCATGAGTAAAATATGTCCATCTGTTGAAAAATCACAGAACTTTAATTTGGGGAGCGATTCGAAATCCCTGTGCAGCCTATTAAGATCCTCTAAATATTTTCCTACTTGCAAAACATTCAAGCATTAGCTTGCCGTTCAAATATACTATATACGCATTCTGTACGGCCGTATTATTAAAATACACAGGGTTTAACGAACGGCTAACAGACCGCTCAGTGATCCAATTAAATGTCCATTTGTAATTGGGGTTCGAAATCTGCTCTTATTTTTTTAGGAGTCTGAAATGCATACCCATGATCAAACATTTTGAAGTGGAGCTGTATGAGGCATTACAACCTGGTGAGCGAATGGGCCTTACGGGGGACCACGTAAAGCTGGGCCACTGGATCGTTGAGAAAAGTCTGGAAATGAAGCAGCGAAGGCGAAATCCTCTAAAGTGGTATTTGAAAATACCCATGTGCTCGGCGGCACGCATCTATTATCGCTTCTTCGTCTATTACAAGGATTCACGAGGACTGAAGAGAATACGGCGATGGGAGGGACAACAGCACGCTCGCGTTCTCGAGGCCTACGAAATGTACCGCAGTCGGGGCTCTTTGAAATTCGGTGAGGCGCATCCGACCGCAATTGGAGGGGGTGTGCAGAGCGAAAGAGGCTGGTTGCGTGGAGAACAGGTAGTCCAAATGAAATTTATATGGCCGCAGCACATACGTTTCACATCGTTTTCGCATTTCATACGAAATCTCGAGTACAACCTAAAGGTGGAGAGTTTTCCCATTGATGAGCCTTCGGCAGAGCTGAATGCAGATGTCGAGATTGAAGTGGCTCGTTTCAGTATTAAAAACTCGCACTTGCGAGCACAGGCTGATCTCGGCGAATACTATAAACCAGGCCAGGTACTAATCTACCACGTAACTGTTCCTTTGGGCTTCGATAACTACTATGTCCTTAACATCGAGTCAAAGGAGGGGGAGCACTTGGGTGCGGTCACCATTTCTGGGTCATACTTTCAGAGCGGAGAAGACATATTAGAGTTGCCGATCTACGAAAAATGGCAAAAGCAAAGGATAGGATGGCTAACACTGCCATATGTTCGCATAGATCCACTGCCCATTGCTGGAGAATTTAACTTCCGCTCCAGTTTCCATCACTACTGGCCAGCCAACTGGCCCACCCTCGATGTGGCTCATCGAGGAATGGGCAAAAGCTTCTACTATCACTCGGCGAGGGCTTTAGAAAACACAATCCAAAGTTTCCTTAAGGCCTATAGGCTGCACAGCGACATGGTGGAGCTGGACATTCAACTTACAAAGGATTACGTCCCGATTGTTTTCAGCGACTGTGGTTTCTACACGGTCGACCATAGGAACAAACTATCCAACTTCGACATGCATTTCGTCTACATCAATGAGATGACGCTTGCAGAACTGCGTCGCCAGAGAGTGTTTGTGTTCCTAAATGGAGCTATGGTTGAGCTGTCGCATCTGAATTCAGACTATGTAGATGAACGGGAAATGCTTTTCCCCCGTTTGGAGGACGTTTTCAAATATCTGCCGTCTTCATTGGGTCTTATAATGGAAGTGAAATGGCCGCAGCTGCTGAGCAGCGGTTCACTCGAATACCCACAGTCCTTGGATAAGAACAGATATGTCGACACCATCCTAATGATCAGCATCCAGTATAGTTGTGGGCGTCCTTTGATTTTCAGTAGCTTCGATGCGGATGTATGCAGCATGATTCGGGTCAAACAGCACGTCTTCCCCGTCGTTCTGTTGACAGTCGGTCAGCAGAGTCCATGGGAATCGTACGCGGATCTTAGGACAAGATCTCTAGGAAGTGCCATAAACTTTGTCCAATCGTCTGAGATTCTGGGAACGGCTATTTATGCAGGTGACTTGGACCAGTCGGTTCAAGAGGAGGAGGTCGATGCAATGTTCCAACTGCAGCAGGTTCTGTTTGTGTGGGGAGATCAATTGAACAGTTCGGCAGCTCTGAACAGCTTAAGGCGCCTGGAGGTGGCCGGCGTGATCTATGACCATTTGGACGAGTTGCTGGAAGAGAGCAAGCGTTTCTCATTCTTCAAGGCACCTGAGATGCAGCACATATTTTTGAGGCAGTGCATTGTTGCTGGCAATATTACTGCAAGTGAAGGGGCACCCGACACCCATTCCCCATTTTGGCCTCGGGTGCGTACTGCCGACGAGCTATAGATGCCGACCGTAAATTTATTTCAATGAAACAAATAAATTGAGACCACATTAAGAAACATTGAATTCGATTTTTTTGTAAAAAAATGATTTGAGATGACATCAGTTGTTCAATGAATCCCTAACAGCTGAGAGGAAAGTAGAGAATGTCCTTATTCAGAGGGGTCTTCTGATGCAAAACCACAGAGCCCAGTGGAACCTCTTTCGAACCCATTAAAACGTACAAGCCTTTGCATACGGTCTTTTGCCATTTAACAACTACATTTATTGACGTTTCAATACAATTTTAACGATGTAACGGAACTAAGAATAGGTGAACAGTTGAGAAAGGTAAGAAAATGTGTACTCCTGCATTGTGTGCCAACACTTTGCGATCCTTGGGCAGCTATCCACCCTACATGCACTCGGCATTGAAGACATCGATGTAGTCGCCCGAAACACAGGCATTGCCGTTTACATAGGCCATCGACTGGCAAATACCCGGTATTTTGCTGCTGATCTCAATGGAACAGCGTCGGATGGAGGGCGTAGAGCCGGGCGCGTGTCCTTGTCGATGGGAATGGCTGTGCTTTGGGTGTTTATGTTTGGGCTCGTGCTGCGCCATGTGCGCCTCTATCCAGTTTGGGGCCACACCCTTTGCGTTTGATTCGTCCTCCGCATATTCCTTCTCTTCACCAGAAGAAACCTTCGGAATAAAGCCGTATTCATCCTCAATGCTCGGCGGTATCTCGACAACGCTGTCCGAGTGCGAAGGGAACAAAAGGTGTCGTGAATAATCCATCGGCTTGGAGTTTTCGTGCATCAACTCCAGGGGCATCTCCAAAGCACTCAAATGACTAAATGCCGTGATCAACTGCAGCAGTACAGCGCCGAATGAGAACATTTTCCTCGGCATTGCAAAGAATTGATAGAGTGTCCACGCAGTAGCAAACAGTCCCAAACGGCTAGTCTCGATGTGCCAACTATTTATTTCCAGTCTGGTAGCACTTTGTTGCTGCTATCGTTGCCTAGAGATGACTGATATTTGCTCGATTATCCTAAATGGCTTTTATAGATGGCTCAAACTTTTGAGGTTGCATTGTCGTCCAGTGGGTTGACTTTTCCAATACGCAGACATTGGTGTGTACAGTTGGGGAAAGAGCCCTAGTTGTCCATATGAACGGACATTAGAGGGTATCGAAAAGTAGAATCTAGTGTGTTCGTACACCAGTTGCTTGTACCAGCTATCTGACTGCCCCGACATCGTTATCAAATATGAAATGAAAAAAATTAATTCCCTTTACCAGACTTTGCTTGCTCCGAATCGACATAGTCTAATGTTCGTTCTACATCATCACGAACAGATGTCGAAGGACATGCACAGTTGTAACAATAAAATTGGAAGGAAGCTATACAAATGACTTCATATGTGATTTCTGATTAAAATAGACACAAAACGCATCGAAAGCCAAAAGGACATGCAGAACATTACGGACGTATGGTGAAATTGAACTTTTAATGACATAGTTATCCACTCTAATTGGATAGCATCGTTCGGATATATTCAGATACAGAAATAGACATCATGTCATTGTTGTGACTCAGTTGTGGCAATCCCAAAGAAGATAGTAAGGGATGAGAATGATTCGTTCCCCATCCAGCTTATATTTGTAAGCCCAGGATTTTCGACAGATTTGCTTTTGGGAGATCGCAAACATGGTGCTATAATAGGCATTGCATAGCTATCAGCTGATAATAATATTTTCTGAGTTTGCATCACTTCTGTGGAAAGTCCACCGTGTTATTTAATATTTCCCATTTCAATCAATGAGACCACCTTGTTCCTTATCATTTTAAATAATTCTAACAGAACCCAGATATAGCCGCAGAGTTAAAGTTTCAAATTTCACCATTGTATCAATTGTATCAATTGGTGTGTCAGTGCATTCGATTTTTTGTTATAATCTATGATATTTTAGTGAAAGTTGTATTTTTCCCAAGAAATTCGGTAAACATAAATACGATTAATTAAGTTTTCCTTTTTTGAAAAATTTTCTCCAGTAACATTCCAATTTTAAAATATTCTGTAGGCCCATTTTTCAACTTCACGATAAAATCAAAATTTTTCAGTGGACGTCGCACTATGTAGCTCCACGGTACCTCAAATTATTTAGTATTTTGAAAGATGTGTTTCAAAATTGATTCTTGATGTTCTCAATAGATACCAACCACTGTAGCAAACAATTGACTACACATAGTTTCATGATTTCCTATAGCCCCATATATCGGTACCTCTCGATGTTCGTGGTTTTTATGATTTTAAGCACTTTTTCTAACGGATTTGTTTAAATGGGATCCACGTGTGGTGGCGAAACACTCTCTATATAGATCCACGTTTTTCTATACCCCCCATATACAGGTACTTTCCGATTTCGGGAATATTCATGATATTTGTCACATTTTTAATATAATTGTTTCAAATTTGGTACTTCTGGGTCCAATGTTTGGTATATCCTCATTTAACATTGCGGCACATTTTTAATATTTGAAGTTCTTAACAACTCCTCCAACCGAATTGGGATTTTCATTTTCAAACTTTTATTTTTAAAGGTTTTCCTCATTCGCTGGGATGGTTATTAAATGCTCGGTCCTGCCGAACTTAATGTGTTGTTTGTTCTTTACCTTATCGACAACATAAAAACAAAATGTCGTTATGACTTCCGCCAAATTCGATGATACAAGTTTACCAATATATGGGTGTTTTGTTCTGACAAAACTTTTCCGTATAGGCGAAATACGTGAGCGACCTCTTAATGTAGAATTATTAGTTTTCTAAATATTAATTATAATAAGAACAATAATACGTACAATAATCAGTTTTAAATACTTTGTAGAATAAGTATAACCTTCAAACTTGCCGAATCGAAATCAAATGCACCGTTCCGAGCTAATCTTTTAAATTTATTTCTACTCTTTGTCTGTTAGGACAACATCTTTTACATTTTGAAGACAATTTCAATGTTTGGTTTTCCTTTTAATTACTAATTCGCATTTGCATTCTGCCCTCAACAAATGTTTTAAGTGTACACATAACATATGACCTATTCCGATGAGTCACTTCTGCCCATTTCCGCAAAATATCATATTTTTTTATTGAGGTGGTCACTGGAAATGGCAAATAACATTTTCGTCCGCAAACCCCAGTAGCGGAAATCTTAACACGTTTAAAGTACTCACTTTTCCCAACTCCAACAATAAATAAAATCGATATACACTTTTATACAAAAAAATCCCACTCTGCTAATTTCAGAATTTGCTCTACTAATGTGATGAAATAAGTACTTTGTAAGTCTAAACACCTTATGATCAGTATTGACACGCCAGTGAATGTAGAGCCAGGCTTACTACATCCCAAGAAAGCTTACTAATCACATTTGAAGTGACCAATGTTTGAATTTTTAAATAGTTGATTATAATAAATTATTTTAGACAACAAATTATCTACAATTGTCGGATTTAAATCCTTATATAGTAAAAAATACTTGACAAATCAATTACAAAGTTCAGATTCCTTCTAATTAATATGTTTTGTATCAATTCCCATCAATAAATTGGAACTGCAAGATCATTTTTGGCCACGGTCGCAACACTGTGCGTCGTCTATTTATTTTTTGCAATAAATGTCTCTCTCTCTCTCTCTCTCTCTCGAAACAACATACTGAGTAAATATCACTGGAAAGTGTACAGATTATGTTACATAATGTTAAATAAACAGAGATAGATAATTTATTTGATTTTTAATATGTGTGGAAAAAAATAGAGCAGTTCCTTTCCTGATAGTTCTTACCGAAGTCATCTGTTTACGTTTTGCCTTATTTTATTTTTTTTTTTTTGAAATTACTCTCTTGCATGAAGTTACTGATATTTGGATGGATTTGACTTTCTCAGGAACAATAACTCATTAGCTTCTGATGAGAGGATTTGCTCTCTCACGTACACATACTGCAAAAGGGTATCGATTGACCGTCAGTAAAATCCAGTGAGAAGTAAACGATGAAAAAAAAAAATAATTGCTGACTAAAAGTCTGATCAGCTACTCTATCTTGAAACGCTCTCATTTTCTGAACTCTACAGGTAACAATTTGCTTCAAATGTATGAGTTAACAAATACACCTATACTTGTGTGTTTGCCGAAAATCGAATTTTGTTGATTATCTAACAACATCTAACAGTTGTAAGCGATATATTGTGGAATTGCATATATGTACATGAAATATTCTGATTGATTCCCAAACTATTTTTGTTTTGTTCAGGAAACTCCATTTGCCGGTGGCGGCATCTGGCCATGTGGCGTTTAATCGGCTTAAATTCAATGGCAGAATGCAGCAGCGTTAAATATGTTTTCATTTTTTTACTGAGGCGAACCCATTATAATGGAAATTAATTTTATGGATTGAATGATTTTTATCATTTTGCCATTGATTGAAACACCACAATAGTTACTTACAGTTCTCCGTTGGTGGTAGGAATTGAATAGAAGATTATGGAGGTAAATTCCCCCCACATCGCAGCCTTCCGAAGAGAAAAACACATTTTCAGTATCGAAATCGCTAGGGAGACATATTTGTCACACTTCGCTCCGACATGGCAACAGATACTCGCTTTGGTTCGTCCGTTGTTCGAACGCAAGTGGACATCGGACAATCAGGTGACCCTTTATTAATTAATAATAAGGACAATGTATCTTCATTTTTGCTATGCCGTCCATTAGGAGCAAAAAAGTAGGAGTTTTTTTTTGTGCTGAGTCCATCGATTCGTAGTCCACAAACACACAAAGAATCCTGAAGCACAAATACTTCATTAGGACTTATAAATATTGATGTCATCGTAAATCACATTTACGTCGAGCGGCCAGTGATGGATGTGGGAAACGTCACACAAATACCTAGAAATGAGCGGCTGTGACCTTCACCACCGGTCAGTCACATGATATCGAACGGAGGAAAGTGTGGAGACACAAAACTTGTAATTGATAAAGTTTATTTCGTATTTATGTGATAAATTATCATATTCGAGTTAGCTCGTTGTTATTCATAGGCCTAGCCTTTTATCTTCGGGGGAAAAGAACAACGGTGAGCAGTTTCGTTTCCAATTTATGTAAATAGATGTGTGTGTGTGGGTGAAAAAAGGAATGAATGAAGAATCGATTAAACGATTGTCTGCAGAAATCCAAAAAAAAAAAAAAAAACAATATTTTATGGGACTTGCATTTTTATTTTAATTTATTTAATTTTTTATACCCTTCATCATACTATGGAGGATATATGAACTTTGTCATTCCGTTTGTAGTTCCTCGAAATACTCATGTCAGACCCTACAAAGTATATATATATTCTCGACCAATGTACAATTCTAATTCGATTTAGCGATGTCAGTCTGCCTGTCTGTTGTAATCATGCTATCTTTCGAACAAACTGAAATAGAAGCCTAAAATTTTGAACACACGTGTATTTTGCCAGTAGGCAGGTTAAGTTCGTAAATGGTACCTTCCCATATAACAGTACCTTCCAATATTTTTTATTCTGATGATTTTAGTGTCATTATTTACCGAAAACAAACTTCGTATCTGAAGATCTGAATGGGTACTTCAACATATGACAGAAAATTGTCTATGCAGATCCACGTCTTCGTGTACCCTACATATAAGGATACCCTTTTTCGGTATTTTGATGATATTATTCAACGGAATAATTTTAAATTTCATATTCGGGGGTTCTAATGGGTACTACAATCTATGACAAAAATGTCTTATGCAGGTCCACGTCTTCGTATAGTTCCTATATAACAGTACCTCCCAATATTCTGTATTTTGATGGTATTAGAGACATTACCGACCGGAATTGTTTCAAGTTTCGTATTTAAAGTTTTTAAACTGTATTTTTTGACGACGTTTTTTATAGTTCCACAAGTTCCTTCTAAATGATGGAGGATATTAAAAGTTCGGCCTATGATGCTTTTTTCCTTGTTTTTATTGGATACACTACTACAGTTCGGCTTCTCTTCGTCA